TAGACGAGAACTTACGGTAAGTTCTGCTTGCGAGAGCTGATATCGCGAATACAAGAAAGTAGATAAGTGACCCAATTTTAGAACAAGGCGAAATGAGGGACGTACAGCAGCCTTCGACGCAGCTACCTCCTGCTTCCATGACTGCGATTCTAGCTGGCATGCATGTAGTTCCCTAAATGCCTTGTCTCGCTCCATCTTTGCGTCACGAGTATCTGCCATAGCGTGTGCCACCTCTTGACGCGACTGTGATTCGACTTCTGAGAACTATCACACACATTGTTCAGTCACAGGGGAATTAGGAGGCCGGATGCACGCAGATCGTACTCACGGCCTTGTAAGCAGCCTTGGAGAACTCTGAGAGAGATTCTGCTAGCATAGCGGAAGGGTTCGTGGCCGCCATATCGAGCGTCGCGGTGCCCGTCAGTTAAGATCGCCGTGGCTGTGCGTCGAGAGTTAAAATATGTTACGTAACGCTTTTGCCAGACTTTCCCAGCACGTGTCGCGCGTGTTGGCATTGAACGTTAGACTGGAGCAGAGAGCTATTGGATTCCACGATTTCTACGGAAAATTATCACCAGAAGCTAAATATTGTAACGAGCCAACCATCTAGAAACAGAGCAGTAGTGTATGCCACTACCCATTTATTAAATGGCAAGAATTTCAAGAAAGTCTTTCTCCATCCATGGTTTAAAGAGTAGAGATTCTGGCGGCATGGAAAGAACCACTTTTCTAAGTTGATCTAGAGCTCCCTTTGCATCCAGTCGGTGTGTAGGATCAGCCACAGTCATACTTACGAGAACGTCGTCAATTTCAGCGATCGTGCTCTGAAAGGGGGAAAGATGGTGAGCAAGTATACGTAGTTGGGGAAAAGATTTAGACTAAATGTTGTACCTTGAAATCTGAGAAACTGACACCCAATTGCCAGACATCTAGCTTGAATGGACTGTAGGGATTTCCAGTAGCACACTCGGGTGCATGAGGGCGAGCATACGTTTTGAGTTCAGTAAAAGAGCCACCAAGAGGGTAGCCTGTCGTAACCCGTTCCTCTGCGAGGCACTCTGACGGGAATTGTATGGCAACCTCGAAGTCAATGAGATAGACCCGAGGACGGGATGGAGAGATCTCCATCGTCAGCAAAGACTCTGGGTGCCATTGAATTACGAAATTGTCACGGAATGCATCCTATGGAACGTCACGGAGAAAAATGATTCTCGAAGTTATACATAAACTAGTTGACTACTCACGCGATGTGCAATGTTTAAGCTGTGAATAAATGCAAGAGCCTACACATGATGTTGAGAAATATATCAAGGTACTGATGAGAAACCGAAACTTACCTCCAACATTTGCATAAGCATCTCGACGATATCACCCGCCGAGTTCCTCGCCCAGAAACCATATGCCTCCGATATCGTGCCACCCACCTTGGGGAAGACGCCGAAAATGATGTCTTCGAACTGGAATTCGGCAAACATGGGGAGGGTATGGTTATTACTCAACAGGCTATTCTCTCCGGTCGCGAGTCTCCGGAGGACTGTGAGATGGTCGTGCCCTTCGGTTTGAACAACGATTACGCGAATAATGACATCGTGCCCATCCTGTGTTCGAGCGGCTCGCTGGAGGGGGTTCTAGGTGCAACATCAGCAACTAATAGAATGGAGAGCTGGCATCACGAGCAATGTAATCAAATCGACGGAGCCGCCCCACAGCTCCTGATTGTGTCTGATCATAATTCGTTCGGGCGGGTGTGGCATAACCATATCCACTCGACAAGGGATAAGTATTACCAGGAGTCCTAAGAACTGGGCCGAAAGCGTGCGGCCACAGCGTAAATCCCGCCTTGTGGAATACTTCTTCCAAATCTATCCAAATCTGCTCCTCTGCTTCTTCAGATTCTCCAGGCATTCTCCAGGTGTCGAGGTTTTCAGGAAGCTATGCGTTATAGAACACTTTTCTAGAAAGCTGGCCATAGAATAACGAAATTGAACCGAACCTTTTGTCGAAGGTGCTGGTTTTTTCTATGTGGTGAATGAACTTGCCAGAGCGCGTATTAGTAAGACGTAAGTGTGGCTGCTGTCAGCATTGCTGTGGCCATAATGGTTGAAATAACCCTTGAAGATGGCATGACAGACGGATTTTCGAAACTTTGCGTTGATTGGAACGAGCGCGTTGACAACTAGTCACGTATCGCAAGAACAAAGGTCTATTTTTATCACGCGTTCAAGAACCAGACATGCTCGTATAGCTCGGACTCTCGCAGAGTTCCTATTAAGATATGGGGAAATATTTTCATCGACATAAAAGGTTAAAAAAAATGAATGTCGGACCCACCTAAGACTCCTTGCGATAGAGCGACTGCCAACTTGCTGCCAACAGACTTCTGCACCAAAGTGACTTCAACTGAGGTCGACCACTATAGCTACTTCAAGTAACCAAGTTGCTAGACGTGCCCGCTGTAATGTCGAACAGAAAGCGAGTAGAAATAAGGCTGGAATACGGCACTGCCAAAGACGTTTTTACTTATCTTGGCGGTTAGATTTCCCAAACACAGATGCCTTCATATGGCGAGTAAAGTTTGGCGCGAAACGTCAAAAGAGATCGTCAGTAATTAGAAGTAGCCCGGCATTCGGGCGTGCTCTCCATGGCACGGAAATGCTTTATTAGGAATATTCTTCATTACTAGAAAGTCGGCGTTGGATCCGACGTACGCTTCGTCCTCGCGGTCCCGGTCCGACCGTGAAGAAAATGACAGAGGACGAGGTTCTCAAGTCTTTTATTATACTTCACCTACATAGTTTACATTGTCATGTCCTCCTCTCCAATACCACCTTGTGCACAATGCTCGACCCTTAAGCTTTAAAGGTTAAATCCCTCGGATCAGCACCAGGTCGCCCTCAGTCAAGCAAACGACCAAGACTTCTTCATCTTTACCACCCCGGACCTTGACACAGCCAACACCCAATAAGGCACCACCACTTCCGTCATCCACTTGCAGCACGGACTGTTTCGACCAAGTGTCCTTCGCGTTCACCACCGGGCGGTAGATGTACACATTAGCGCCTCGATCGCGCGCACTACCGCCCTCGAACGCAAGCACCCCGCGTGTCGGAAGATGGTAAGTGAAGCGCGTGTCCTGCTTTGATGCGAGCACGAACGCAAGCGCGGAATATGTTGATGTGTGTTTCCACGCAGAAGGGTGCGTAGGATCGAACGAAAAGACAGGCCCGTCCAGATCTTGCTTCAGGATGAGTTGGAGGACAGGCGAGCCTTCGGATACGGATCCTGGCATGGGTGTCGACAGAACTGTTACTGGCTCTTGCTCCCATGAGTTGGTCTGACACCATCCTGGGGTCGCACCTTCCGGTTCTACCCAGGTTACCCAAGCTCGCCTGCCTACCGACGCATCGGCTTCCTCATCAATCTCCCCTTCCACAAGGCTAGGTACACCGTGGCCTAGTCCCAGCCCAGATGCGTCTTCGCCTGTGCGCAGCGCCGCTGTGTACTTCTCTAATGACTCGCGAATGTGCCAGAGCTCAGAGGGGTCGAGCGTCTCCGGCACATCGACATCTCCCTTGTCAGTGGCGGAGCCGGCGAATACGTGCATCCACCGCGTACCCTCGTTCTTCTTCTCCATGTGCAGCGTTAGCAATCCGTACGCGTGCTCGGCCTCTCGATCCCATGTCCAGAAGCACGATGTCGTGTTCACGCTGTCCCATAATGCCGTTGTAGAGTAGTGTGGTATCGGGACCGGCGGGTACTCCTCGCTTGCAAGAGGCTCGGCGTCCACGTGTAATGTTAGCGTTTGCACGGTGAACAAGACTTTGATTTTATCTTGTGGAGTATTGGAAGGAAGAGGAAAGGCAACAGTCACAGAATCGGAGGTTTGCGTCCATGAGTATGGTTGTGGTTTTTCTAGTCTGTCGGTAGACATGTCAAGGTTCTCGCCTGCACGCGGAATCGGTGCCAGCTCGTCGGGGGTCGGCTCGTAGGCTTTGATTGTCGGAACGTTGGGCTCAGAGAAAATTGAACCACCAACAATGAAATAGGAGTTGACTTCATTGATAAAAGTCGTGTAGATGGGTACATCCTGTCCTCGTCGATGCCATAGCACGTCAAGTTCTCGAGGTTCACTTCCGGAGCGCAAAGAGAGAAGATCAATCTTTGCAGCCCATAAGTCGAATTCAACCGTTGGATTTTTCTTTCCTTTCTTCCCGTCGGGAGAGTAGAATCGAGACGAGAGTAGTAAGACGGCTGTGGTGGGCGAGGGTCTGTGGATATGATGCAACCTGAACGGCGCATCAAGCGCTCCTCCGGTACGGAGCGTGAAGGTCCCGATGGGCTCTGAGACGTCGCCTTCCTTGATGGGCAGGACATACAAGAGACCGTTGCCGTCTGTTACTGCCACGACCGTCGAACTGAGGAACGCGGATGAAGGATATTCGCGTTGGATATTCACGACAGACGATGTGTCCATCGGGGTAGCCATTTCGTATATGACTCGAAAAGAGGGCCCTGGTACATCCTACTTTACATCTCGGCCGGTGAGTATACAGAAAGTCTCCAGACATGAAAACCATTGAGAAGCTTACCCCAGACATCGGGATTCCAATCAAGCAGACGTTGAAATCTTCGTCAACATAGATCGCGTTTCCGGAGTCGTTATCGACTGTCAGATGATTGTGAGTTATTCGGCTATGCATCTCCTGGAATGACAGCGGCAGTCTTCCAGACGTCGTGGCTTGTGTGGGCTTTCGCGAGAGTTTATATCGGGACACTGCTTGATCTTGAGGTATTGATTCCAGTTTATACCCATCGAATTTCGGGTTAAGAAGAGACTTGTTGGTAGAAAATACGTCCATCGCTTGTCGGGGGAACTCGATTATCGGGATGTAAGATGTAAGAAGAAAAATGAAGCAGTTGCTTGGCGGTTGCAGAGATATTTATGAGTCGGTGTCGGGACTCTAGTCTGAGAATGACGTCAGAATCACGTGAAAAAAGAAGGGCACATGGTGTAGTTGGTTATCACGCTCGCTTAGCATTGTACATGCTGTTATGGGTCTGCGAGAGGTGTTGGGTTCAATTCCCAATGTGTCCAATCTTTTGTTCACAATCCTTAGGTTGAATGGTCGGGTTTTTTTAATACATAGTTCTGAACCTAAGTTCAAACCAGGTGCAAACACTCTCAGTTCAGCTGCGTCGAACGTTGTGCGACTCTTCAATGAACTTTCAAATTTCAATCGTTTCCCTTTGTTGCGCCTAGAGAAACAAAAGTGCCCGGTGCCTGACTCCGCGACAACAAGTCGATTTCTTCCTCAGCTGAGGGGTAATTCCAGGTAACTCGACTCCCCCCGCTGAGTGCAACGTTTTTTGAGCCGAGAGTATCCGGGCCGTTTGGCATCACGGTTAGTAGCTGTCACACGAGGTGGCTCGAGGATGTGACGGCGTTGTCCTGATCAAACTCATCCTTAGCTGTTCGATAAAAGCCCTATATTCTCCTTCTTGAACAAATTGCTCACCATGGAGAAACTCGAATCGCTCTCGACAACGCTGCAGAATATCACGCTCTATGATATCAAAAGTATGTACAACCAGGTCCGTGCATTTTGGCCTCCTTGGATCGGAATGCTGGCATGCTGACGAGGTTGGCATCAGGCGAAGAACGTTGTACTGAATGTCAGTGAGATGGAGGCAAAAGTTAGGGAGGCCACCAATGATGATCCTTGGTACGCGAAAACCGCCGTGATGAGAGGCGATGACTGACCCACTATGCAGGGGTGCAAGCTCAACTCTGATGCAAGAGATCGCCCAAGGGTACGTACCAGCGTTGTTCAACATCTCCTTGGTGTTCAATCTAACACAGTTTACATGAACTCTAGGACATTCCACTTGTAGGAGTCTCATTGATGTCCTCGAATACCTTCTAAATTGTTTCAATTTCAGCCAATATTTTAACGAAATCATGCCCAGTATCTACTCCCGTTTCATGGAGAAAGAAGCCAAACAATGGCGACAGATATATAAGGTATGTAAGCCTTTATGAACTAATGTGTTTGTCGTTACTTACGTGATATACAGGCTCTTCAGCTTTTGGAATATCTCATCAAGCACGGATCAGAACGCGTGGTTGACGATGCACGGTCACATATCTCTACTCTTAAAATGCTACGAAACTTCCATTACATCGATGATAAAGGCAAAGATGAAGGTGTTAATGGTATGTATCTAACAATTGATATCGCTCGAGACGAGAATCAACTTTTTCTCACCACCAGTACGCAACCGCTCTCGCGAACTCGTCGAACTGCTCTCGGATGTAGAAAAAATCCGTGGAGAACGCCGTAAAGCGAAAGCCAACAAGAATAAATATGTTGGAGTAGGAAACGATGGCTTCACGGGATCAATGGGTTTCGAGTCCGGCGGCGGAGGTCGATATGGTGGATTTGGCAGCGACAGTCTCGGAGGAGGGAGCTCGTCATACGGCAATTCAAGTTACGGAAATGGTGGGCATTTTTCTACGCTGAACGTTGAATGTGTTATTCGTGAGACAGACTACTCAGGTGGTAGCAGTAGCCGCGGAGGAGGCAGCTCCTCCTTCAGCGACAATCGTCGCCCATACGAAGAATACAACGCTGGAGATGATGAGGTTGCACCTTCCCCCGTCCGTTCGAATTCCATCCGGACACCTGTGAGGAAGGCAACTGCCCCTCCTCCACCTGCTCCAGCCACAGAACCTGTCGTTGATCTATTGGGTGGATTCGATGATGACACTTTCAGCGCGCCTGCTCCTGCTCCTGCACCAGCTGCAGTTAATAAAGCACTTCCTGCCGTTTCTAACACGGGCATCGTCGGTCTCGACGGTATGTATTCATCCAGTTAACATGACTGGATTTCGAGAGGCTCATTTTTCATCGATTTTCTCAGATGACGACTTCACCGACTTCCAAGCGGCGCCTGTGCAGGCATCTGCCTCCCATGCCCCTGCCCCAGCAGTGGCTAAGAAGGCTAATCTCATGGATATACTCAACGCAGGACCAGCTAAGCCACCCGCTTATACCGGATTTGCCCAGCCTCAACAACAATTCGCGCAGCCTCAACAACAACCAATAAATTACGGCATGGGTATGGGTATGGGCGCTGGTACGGGCATGGGCATGGGAGGACATCGTCAAACTCCTTCTCTATCGTCTCCAGGCCAATTCTCTGCTCCCATGGTTCCTCAACAGCAACAGTCATCCCAAAATTTCTTCGCAGGAAGCGCACCCATGAGACCCACCTCTTCCTTCTCGCCAACGCCAGCTGCGTCGGTCAAACCTGCTGCGGCTGCCAAGAGCGCCAACTTCGACGACTTGTGGTCATTGTCACTTGGTGGTCCGGCGACAGGCAAGTCAACCACGGGTGTGGGTGCCAACAAGTCGATAAAAGATTTAGAGAAGGAGAAAGCTCTGGCAGGTCTGTGGGGAGGCCAGCAGAAGCCAGTCGGCGGCGTTCCTCAACCTGCGTTTGGAGCATTCGGCAACGGAGCCCCTCCCTCGTCGTCCTCTGGTGGTGCTGACGATCTCCTGCTGTAATTTTTTTCACGAGGCGGTGTGGCGATTGTGTGGTATGCGTAGACTTTTTCATAACTTTTACCCTTTCTGCCGTTTGACTTATCGCGGATGTTGCTGGAAATCGATGCCTGTTGTACAGGTTTTTGAGATATAAATCACGGACGTGGGGGAGTTCGTACTCTCGGATGCGTATGCTTCGGGCAACCGTTGGAGCACGAAGACGCCTGTATCATTAGGGGAAATCTGGCCAAGTATAAATGTCCGTTACCGAGACTGCTTTCATGGATATATAACATTAGGGCATTCGATTCAGACAGAGATGACATTAGGTTGTGATGCTTTTGCTGGTCTAGCTCTGAGTCCGACATATGTGATATCTTTGTGAAGATTCCGCGGGTCTACACTGGTTGGAGTTTGCTTTCCCTGCATCACCTAAGTAGCACTTCATGGAAGCAGACCTTACAAGTTGTCATTACATCTCTACAACCAACTTTATTGACATTAGCTGGGAGTAGTCAACAATGAGCTCCGGCTGTTCCACGACATAAAATAGACCGAGTATTCAACGGCCTCGTCGTTGGAAAGAATGACCTGGGGTAATTGATTTAGTATAAAATACCTCGGCTGTCCAAGGACCTTGGGTCGATACTAGTGCTCGCCCAAGGTACAGCCGTTTCGGAAATTCTTGTCCACGGTGATTTCCGACATTTTTTAAATAAAATAAATCAAACAAATCGAGAAAATAAGAAAAATTCAGAAAATTCAGAATCGTAGCTTCCGCTGTCTCTACTCCTCGTAAACGAGCATCTACACTCTTTTAAATATCTATACATCATGTCTGATGACTACGACAATCATCCCTTGGACTTTCCTGTGTCTGACGGTGAAGAGAACATCTTCCTACATCGAAAGCCGTGCCCGCTACCCAACGAGATGATTCATGATGCATGAGCTTGCACAATGCCAGTGCATCTGCAAAATTCCCCGCGTCCTCGATTTGTATCCTCAAATAGTCCTCATGCCGGTCATACTTCTTCGCAAGGTAGGATGCATGCTCAAAGTAACCCGCTTGTCTGCACACACGAATCGCGGTGACAAGGTCGAACGGCAGCTCCTCCGCGTCTCCTCCATCTGCCTTGGCATTCCGCCGCGATTCTGTCTTGATGAAGCTGTCGAGCCGCACAACGTCTTTGAGCTTGGTGTAGGTGTTGAGCAGGAGGGTGGTGTGGTCGGCGTTGGCTAGTCCCAGACTCCCAGAGAGTGCACTTCTTGAAGATACGTTACGAGGTTCTTTATTCGTTGTGCGTCGAGATACTATACGTAATGATTCGAATTCAAGTTCGAATTTTGGCAATGGAATTTAGGACTCTTTTTTGAGGGTTTTGACAAGGGTTTCACGATAGCCCTCTGGAAGACTTGATGACGTGGCACTGCACAGTGGGCAACCTTGCCTCTGCGACATGCTCCGGGGCACTTGAAAGCAAAAATAAAATATCTAGTTGCTATTCATGAGGTCATCCTTCATTTTCAGTCATTCTGGCTTCCATTTGTGAGGTCTTTTGGCCCCAAATCAAAAGTTTGAAGACTTCGAGGCCTGGATAGCTCTATTACAACCTAACCTCGTCAGAAACAACCAGGCTTTGAGCCGTATGCATGGTATTGATATGGTTACATATAAGGAACATTAAACACTCGAAAGGACTGCAGAATCACTCGATTAAAGCTCGTTCTTGCATTTCTTGCATTTCTTGCATTTTCTGGATTTTCTGGATTTATTTTATTTTAAAACGCCGGAATTCACCGCCGGACAAGAATTTCCGAAACGGCTGTAAACAAATAGAATGACATTGAACATAATTCCAGAATCAAGGAAACATTGCTTGAGTTCCAAATCCGATATCATCGGATTTGATGGTAGTAAACGGTGGTAATGCAGCTCCTGGAACACCCATGGGCAGTTAAAACAGGTCCGTCAAGTACCAGCATTCTGGCACTAGTCTGCTACCTGAATAGCAAGCGATAATCAGAGACGCTCTCGGGAAGATGGAATGAGTTCGCATACCAGGAGTTCCTGATAACAGTCAACTAAGCTAGTATAGTAGACCTCTCATCCATTGTGCGATCGGCGCACGGGACAACTCTTCGTCGCTCCATCCACGCCATGCTGAGAAGTCACAGTGAGCAATATAGACGCCCAGATGTTCAAGCCTGCTTACCCAGATGGACATCTGTCTTGTCCCGACTGGAACTGCAGGACCACTACAACAAAAATCCGATGAGAAGGCAGAATCAGTCGGGCAAGGGGGAGAAACCTTACTAATAAACGCCACCGCTCAGTTGGGGAGGGATAAAGCCTCTCCAGACTCCAGAGAACGTCAGAAACAACCGAAAATGCTATATATGCTGGCTCGTTACTCATATATGTTGCGGATACTGGATATCGGATACTGAGTTTGAAATCTAACTTACATAATCGAGTCTAGCCAACAAACGTCACTGGCTCAATGAGACACGACATTGGCCTACGACGTCCCTTCTCTTCTACGAC